GGTATAAAGTTAGTACAAAGTTGGGTCATCTATTTGGAACGGAGGGAGTATTACTGAAGGTAAATACGTTAGATTTCGTTCTTATTTACCTACTTGGTTTTTCCTCATGAATCTAGTACAATGGTAGAGTAGGAAGAACTCATTCAGAACAATTATATCCTTGAATATTTATTTTTATTCAGCTTGAAAACCTGGAGCAAGCAATATCAACCCCAGTCTCAGAGGCAAGTGGTGAGCAGACTGTTGCCAATGATGTGCCAAGAGCTGTATCTTTGACTTCTTCATGATTTTCTGAACCAAGCAATGTTATGCCTAGAGCAGCAACAGTCGGGACTACTGGCAGTGCTGGAGCCGACCTTGATAGCAGCAACAGCGGCAGCTCTGTACCAGAGTAGAGTACAGTTTCGTTACCCTTATCTGTGCTTAATCCTGGAGCCTTTAAGCTTGCGATAGGGTCCCATGTTACTTAGACGCAAACTGCCGCATGCCCCTTTTGTTCTGCTTAATGCAGACTATGCTCCTCACTTTGGCATGTATGACTGGTTTCACTAGTCAATTTTCGTTTAGCTGAAATCAAGTGCACTTGAGGTGTGCAGAGGATGCTCAACAATTATCAGTCATGAAGCTGAATATCTGATAATACTAGCTGCAATCTGTCATTAGAGAGGACACAGTAATCTACCAATGTGCCATACGCTACTAATGTCCTTGCAAATTTGCCAGTTTATAAACTTGTCTACTGCTGTTCCAATCTAGCGAAGCTGATGCTTCCAGATTTTCTTTTTCTTTCGGTTGGGTGGCTTAACTAAAACTAGTGTAGGCCATCATACTCAGATACTGTTCTTCTTGCTGAATATTTTGTGGTCGTTTATGTTTTAGCCTAATCTCTATCAGCCTGGTTACCTGATAATGTTCCTGACATGGATCTACTGCTTGTCTGTCTGCATGTGACACTAGCACCTTCCTGGAAAAGCCTGTTAAACAAATGATACTAGCGCATTCTTGGTTAAATGCAGGTGCTAAAGACTTTTAGATGAATATTTTTTCAAGATTAGACTTTGCACTTGCAAACCCCCAACATCTTTACAAGCCTTGTAGTCCAACAATAGAGTTACCAACTTAGAACAGTCAGTTGGTTTTACTGCTGCTGCTGATAGTTTGTCCTCCATTCATACACCATGTATTCACCTACTATAAAACCTGTAACAAAATGTTCTCTCAATGACAGATTTCCATCTTGAGACCTGATGCTTTCCAAGTATTTACAGTCGCCAGCCATCTCCCTATGAAATGTTAAATAATCTGAAGTTGTGTGCATGGTTCTTTTCTGATCGTATTCCGTCGAATTGCCATCGTCAGCTAGGACTCAGTAATCTAGTTATGAGTTACTTGATGATGATACCAGGAAACTTTATGAATTCATCAATTTATCTGTTGGTAGATCTGATTCTCTGAAGTGCTTCGTCGTCAGTTTTCCATTTAGTCGAGAAAAGATTTGCGGTTGTGGCTCAGACTAGCTTCAGCCTTTTGAGGGCCAACTGAAAGAAAAAATTGAGTTGCCAAGTGTCACTACACTGGATTGCCTGCATACTGAAACTGCAGTAGCTCTGTTAGATTCTGAGAGTGATATCTGGATTAGGATTTACTCCCTATGTCCCAAAATATAAGAACGTTTTTATATTATGGGACGGAGGGAGTAACAAATATATGCGTCGCCTTATCTGCCATAGTTGGCATCATGCAGATCTGATGCTCTGAAGTGTTCATTTTAAATTAGAAAAAGTCTGTCCATTATTTGGCATGGTGACTCTGGTAAGTAGCTGGAAGCTAGAGATGAAGATATCCCACTTGGAGTTGGTCCGCAATTCTAGGTATCATATGTTTATGAATCTCACACTTAGCAGTTCTAGTCTAGGTACAAAATTCCTAATATGTGACTGACGGCTGCTCTGTGGAGTAACATCCGAAAGTGAAACATTTTTTGTTTAGGGCCTGTAGCCACCTCGGATTGATGTTGTGGTCAAAGCCATGTCAGGGACCAAGTTTACCCAATATATTGATAGTCTAGGTCGAAAGCCACACTCACGTTAAGTTGGAGCGACCAAAAAAAAAGCACTTTCGTAAGGGGGGGGGGACTAAAAAAGTCTATATACATCCATTTCTATGACAAGTAATTTCAAACGAAGAGAATACATCTTTGTGCCACACACCTGAATATCTTCACCAAGTAGTAATTCAATATAGACCCTCTTCTTCCGAGCAGAGGATGCAGACTACGGTGGTGCTGAGGCTGAACATGAGCAGAGGCCGCGCAATATGGCAATGGCAGCAAACACGACGTATGGAGCGTACAGCTGAAGCAGCCTCGGCATTGCCCTTCCCGAGACCAGCATCTCACCAAGTCTTGCCGACTGAAACAATTGCAACCACTTAACGAAATCAAGAAAATGCGGTCCAAAGGGGATAGATAATTTTCCTTTTTTAAAAAAATGGAGGAGGACCCGGCCTCTGCATCTGAACTATGCATGCAGTTATTTTATTAATTATTCACACAAGACCTTACAAAGTCATACAACAGTAAGACTGAAGCCATCGTCTAGACAACAGAAGTGTCGCTACTCCTATCCAATTGATGAAGGGATGCTGACAGTCTAGGCCTAATACCAAATAGACCTCGCAGCCAAACCTAACATGTAACACCTGAGGTCCCAATCAGAACGCCTGCCGGGTATGGGCACCCACCAGTCCGGCGTGCTCCTCAACCAGGATGCCTGTCGGGTATGAGGCCGCCACAGCCACCTGCCACCAATCCATCTTCAGAGCTGTACTGCTGCATGAACGTTGCCCGTCTAGCTGCCGCCGACGCCACCACGACGCCAGACAGCGTCGACCTCCTGCGCGAGTCCATCTTCGCACATCAAACGCCTAATCTCCAGAGCACCATGCTATCGAGATCCGACACCATCAATGTGTGTGATGAAGCATCACTCCTCGTCTTGTCACCTTCAGCCATCACTTGCTCCAAAACGATGCCCCCATGAGGGAAAGCGCTACTAAGAACGCCATCATCATCCGATCCGGGAGACCCAGATCTAGGGTTTCCTCTGGAACATCTCGATCCTAATGACGCCAACTGCAACAACGATGCCTCGACAAGGAAACGGCATCAAAGACGCCGCCATCGTCCGCCATGACCGTAGTCGGCGCGATTTTCATCGACAGTTGCGCCACCGGGCGTATGGCGCTGGCCTCGCTGGTTCCTTCGACCGTAGCAAACTTCAAAACGATGCCCTGAAGAGGGACTACGGCGCAAGAGCACCGCCATCGCTCGATCCCATGAAGATCTAGGAATCCCCCCTGAGTTGCCCGGGTTGTCAAGGACCAGACAAAGATGCCGACGTGTCGCACTCGCCATCGCGCCGACCGTGAACCAAAGACCAAGCTCACGCATGAGCCCAGATCCGGCCGCGCCGCCGCCGATCTGGTCACGCCGCCGTCGTCCAGGCGACCGTGGCGCCTCAGATCTTGAGGCCGCCTGCCATGGGGAATGGGATCGCCTGAGCGCCGCCAACCCCCGTCGTGACGTCCGGCCGCACGCCACGCTCCGGCCCGGGGGCGCCAGCCCGTGCCAGCTCCTCACGAGCAGGAGGGCACCTAGTCCCCGCCGCCGCCGGCGACGGCAAGGCTTTGCCTGGCCGCGCCCTCAGGCGGCGGCGAGGGAGGAGGAGGACGAGAGGGGGAGTCGGGGGCGACGGGATCTGGAGGCCTCCCAGCCGCCGCACGAGGGCGACTCGGGAGGGGGGGAGGGGAAGGGGATAGAGATTAACCATCACAGAGTGATTTATGTGCCAGTGACTGAAGTTGATGACATTGGAAAACTTAGTATCCACGGCGTTGGCCTCTGCATCTTGAGGAAATTGCAGATCCGAAGCAGAGGCCGCACATGTTTTCAAACCATGGAAAAAGAATAGAGCAGAGCAGGGAGGCTGCGAGAGATGAGGGGTTACCATGGAGGTGACTGAGGGTGGAGACGCCGGCCATGAGGAAGAAATTTGGTACCGCGGAAGCGTACCTTTTTTTTTTTTGAGAAACTTCCTATCTATAAATAATCAATCATGACAATAGAAAGAACATCATATATAACAAAAATTACAAACAGGTCCATGGACCACCTAGCGACGACTACAAGCATTGAACCGAGCCGAAGGCACGACGCCGTCATCATCCTTCCTAACTGGTGCCAGGCAAACCTTATTGTAGTAGACAACCGGAAAGTCATAATGCTAAGGCCCCATATGACCAATTCACCAAAACAGCAATCATCGCTGATGAAGAGAGTCGTAGATTGGAAGGGTCAAACTGTAGACACAAGACCAAAGACTGGATCCAAACAGATTCACCGAAGACTTGCATCGATTGAATACAACGAGATCCAATAGAGACACACCTCCCGACACCCTCCGACGCTAGACACACCATCTGGACAGAGATCAAACGAGGCAGACATTTATTCGTATTGAGAGACAATGCTACCGCCACACAACTCCAATCAAGACGCTGAACCTAACAAAAACATGAGCGGGGCCCCGAGGTCCTCCGTTCCTCCACGGCCCAAAGGCCATCGAAGTGGGGGCAGACCGGCGGTGGCGCCAGCGGAAGGAGGAGAAAACCTAATCATTTGGGAGTATTTTCTTCTAGTTATATGAAAAAGTTTTACTTACAAAACTCACGTTGTGACGTGCAGGCAACATTCTTCTAGTTGCCATTATTGTTAAACCAGACGTGCATTGCAAACTCAAATTAGAATTGACAATTCTCTAGTCTTCTCTCTACCATAGATGCCTTCACTTATATATCAAACTTTTAAGTGCAACTTGCGTATTTCATTAGACAGCCTGGCTCCTGGCCCCGCCTGCCGTATAGTACAGAAGAAAAAAGACTATGGGGGGTGACTAAGTATAAAGGGAGAGAGGAGCGGTGAGCAGTCGGAAACGAGAATAATGGGGGCCTCAACTGCTGTGCAATGGTGGGATGAGTGGCAGCTTCGCGTCCTGGTGTTGGGCAGTCTTGGTGTTCAGTTCTTCCTCGCTTTTTTCTCTCGCAGCCGTAAGTCCCGTATACCCGACTGGTTCAGATTTTCCATATGGCTTTCGTTCCTAGGAAGCGATGCGCTCGCAATATATGCCCTCGCCACGCTCTTCAACCTTCAAAAAAGGTCCCTAGCTGAAGACGACGGCCGTGGTTTGGAGGTCTTATGGGCACCTGTACTTCTAATGCACCTCGGTGGGCAGGCCGCTATAACGGCCTACAATATTGAAGACAATGAGCTATGGAAACGGCACATAGTTACTGCCGTGTCTCAGGTACATACAACATGCGCGTAGGAGTATATTGTTAGCAATTTTTCTGCCTACACACATCTCAAAATTAATCATTTCCTCGATTCTCCACTTTTGCTCGCTGTCTCAGATCACGGTGGCCGTCTACGTGTTCTGCAAGTCATGGCCGTCGTCAGCCGATAAGAGGTTATTGGCCGCAGCAGTTTTGCTTTTTATCCCCGGGGCTGCCAAATGCTTCGAGAAACCCTTGTCTCTCATGAGATCTAGCTTGACTAGCCTCTCCGCCTCTATCAGTCTCATTCGGCGCACTACAGCGCCTAGTGACAGAGAGGAAGAGCTCGAGGCATTTGTACAGGAAGCAAGGGCAGCGATCCTCCTAAAAGACCATGAGAAAACCGACCCAGAAAAAGCCAACTATTTACCTAGGAAACTGTTTTTAGACTATGCCGATAACTACTCTTTTCGCCTCACTAGAATGAAATGCTTTTGTCTCCTTGACGACAAAGAAGCAGACGAGGCATTGACATACGCGCTCGGCAATATTTTTGACTATCTCTACACCAAAGCAACCGATTGCTCCAAAAGATTTGATAGACTACCCAAGAACTGCCTTATTTGGACGTTTGTATTGTCCATGACATTGCCTATTGTCTCCATTGGCCTCGTCCATAAGAGCCTCACAAAAGCATACACCTATAGTGATGTCAATATCACATTTGTGTTATTGTACGGAACTCTTCTCTTAGAGTTTATTTCTGGGTTCGGTCTACGAGATTTCGCGGGTAAATGGCCTGCCATGGTTGCTCAACATAACCTTATAGGGTCCTTTGCCCGCGATAAAAGGCGTAGGAAGTTGACGAGCTTTGGAAGACGCAAGGAGTCCTGCAGCTCGTCCAAGGAGATTACAAAGTTAGTACGTCAACATGCCGAAGATGGATGGAAGGAGTTCATAACAGATTCTCAGAGTTACAGAGAGTTCAACAGCACCAGGGGCCAATGGACACTTGAGCGCAAAGGATGCACCGATCTGAATCTAGCATGGGTCTTGCAGAAACCTTTCGATGAGAGCATCATTTGCTGGCATGTGGCCACAGATTTCTGTTTTTACCACACACGCACATCTCTTGATCATGAGTGTGCACGTCGGTGTAGAGAAATATCCAACTATATGGTGCATCTCTTGCATACCAATCACGAGATGCTATTGCCAGGCAGTAGAAAGGGTCTACTTAAAATCGCCTATGACGAACTCGACACAATACTCATCTTTCACGAAAAATCACTAGGTGAAGAAAAACTTGCCCAGAAGGTGATTGGTATACTTAAATCTACACAAGGTCAGGGTATAATTCGTGTTGCTTGGATGCTCGCTGAAAGCTTGACGAGTCTTGGTGATGAGAACAAGATGTGGGAGGTGATCCAAGGTGTGTGGGTGGAGATGCTTTGTTTTTCTGCTGGCAGATGTAGAGGATATTTGCATGCCAAGAGCCTTGGCACTGGTGGTGAGTACCTGTCCTATGTCTGGCTCCTGTTAGCCAATACTGGGATGGAGACATTCTCGCAGAAGCTTCAGAGAACGCAAACACTTCTGTCATCGAAACAGAGGAAGCACCTTGAGAACCAAGGAGAAGGTGGCCTTACACAATCTACTTCTCAAGCCATGGATCTTCCCACTAAAGAAGGAAATTTCGGTAGTTCATCGGCTTCCCAAGATGAAGTTACCGCTGCTGAGTTCAACGAATTTTTTGTTGAAATACATGTCGTTGAGTAATTAAGCTGTCCCACAATAACAATCCCATCGATTCCTAGTGTATTTATGTCTTTTGTTTGCATGCTTTTATGGATTCATTCCCTGGGTGCCATGGCTCATGAATATGAATTGCTTGTTCATGTAGTCATTATCTTGTTATTTCTTGTAATTGTGTTTTGTAATAATTACGATGTGCATCAATGATGCAGCTGCCGGAGTGTCTTAGCACTCTCCCAATTATCAAGCAGTAGCATACACTCGTTTGAGATTATGGAACCAATGTACACAACCTCCATTGGTCAACAAGACATCATACCCCTTTTAAGGCATCTTTAGCACACCCCCTATCCTAAAAGTCCAGACCCCCCTTGGCCCCCGCGTGGCGACTCGGGCGGCGCTAACCCTAGTCGCCGCCGCCGGCCCCTTCCCCCTTCTCCTCTCCCTCGCCACCACCGGAGGGGGTCGCCGAAAAGCCGTGCGTCCGCCGAGGAGGGTGGTGGCGATGATCTGTCCGCCTGTTCGCGCAGGGGATCTGGAGCCAGGGTGGCGGCCTCGGGTGGTGGTGCGTCGTCGTCTTCAGCCCGCGGCGTCGCTGGTGCTGGCCGCCCCCTTGGCCACGCGGGTGGCAAGGCGGCGGCGGGTGGTGGCTGTGGGGCGCGGTGGCCGCGGGGGCGCCCGCCCCGGATCTGACGCCTTCGCCCCCAATCCGTTTCAGCCTCTGTCAGATCTGGCTTCCGGCTGGCCCTGGTCGCCGGCGCTGCGTTTGTGGTAGGGGTGGGGGAGATGGGGGACCTGGAGAAATCCACGGCTAGCTATGCCGGCCACGACGACGCCGATGCCTGAGGGCGCCGTCTCCTACATGTAGGCGCCGTCAAGGTGCCCCCTTTCCCCCTTCTGCCTCTCTCCCCTACTCGTGCACCGGGGTGAAAACCCAAATCCCCCTGGATTGGGCGGCAGCTACGCTCGCGGCGTCGCCACCTTCATGGAGGTGCCGCCTTCGGTTGAGCATGGGGAGGTGGCAAGTTCGATCTGGTTGGTGGGCGTCTGGTGGCGACATGGTTGGCGTTGGCGGGGTCTTGGTAGTTCTTCTCCAAGTCAGTGGCTTCCCAACATTGTCTGCTCTGTCACCAGCAGCCTCACCATGCTTTTTTGCTTCTCCTTGAGTGTTGGTTCCCCCCTGCTCCATGTTTGCCTCTCTGGAGCTCGGCGACGCGAGTTAGTGGTGCCCTGGTTAGGCCCTCCGGGCGGCAATGGCGTCGGTTTTACATCTTTGCTCTAGGGAGAGCGTTTGCATCGCCCGACGGATCGGCGCCTCGTGCCAGGAGAGGGGCTAGGGAGCCCCTTCGGAGTTGCAGGATGTTGTCAACGGTGCTGTTGGAGGCAATGGAGCTGCCAGCGTTCCCTTACATGCTAGTTGGATCTCCACAAGGCTTGCTGGTGTTCGGGATGGATTGAACTCGGTGGAGGGCTTCTCTGTCTTCAAGCCAGTCTTGTTCTTTAGTTTTCTTCATCTTTGCTTGTAGATGGTAGGAAGCCTATTAGCTGCTAGCACATCACTATGTATCCTTTTAGCTGTTTCTTTGTTCTTCTTTGTAAGTTGGCGGTTGCTATAATACTGGCCGGTTGATGGCTTTGTTAATTCAAAGTCGGGCTCGACTTGAGCCTTCGTTCTAAAAAAACTCTCTTATCCCATTTCTTTATATATTTTTAGAGGATTAAGCGCTTGTTCACGTAGCAGATCCCCTAATACTTAATCCCTTAAAAAAATATTTTGCCAATTCTTCCAAAGGTTTTCAAACATATGACAACATATTAATTAAGAACTTGAAAATTCAAGTGCATACGATTCAAATACATATCAAATTTAATGTTCTCCAACTTATCAACTCGAATTCAAACACAATATACTGTCCGAATGAACTAACAATCCAAATAAACATGATAAAAACACAAGAATCAAGTGCTATGATGGCAGCAATGATGCTCAATAAGATCTTGAAAATGGTTGTGAGCTTGATGGTTCTCGATCCCTCGTTGTGCTTGGAAGAGGGCTTCGACCGTGTATGGTTTATGTTCGAGCTCCACTAAGTACCCATTTAAGAGATACCAAAGGTACTCCGGGTCATCTCTCTCGTTCTCGGCAATGAAAAAGCGGTGTCGATAATAAAGGATACAGACATGACAACATTATATTTACTAACACATTAGATATCATAAACAACAACTCTTTCTCATAAAACTTCTCATAATCAAGTAGCAATCTATTCGCATGTTAAGGTGTAGACAATAAACTCTCTTGAAACCCAATAAACTATGTTCTTAGTTATCGCACAATTACAATTCATCTTATCTTTCAAAAGAGTCTACGTAAGAGCTTTGGGTTTAGAAAACTTCACATACTCAACTATCATATAGTCTTATAATGATTGATGGCACTCATGAGCATATTTTTAGAACAAACAATTTCCATCAGACACAAAGGAAGATAGGGGTTAGTATTTTACTGCAACTTACTAATCACAGGAATAATTGTCAACAGTAATAACCCATGATCATATATATTCAACTGGGTATATGTGCCTGGATCCCAACATATATTGTTTGCCAAGTGGAGAATATTTAGTATGGAATAAAAAATTGACTCAACATAAAAAACAAAATTGACAGAAAAAGTAAAAGATAGGCATTTTGCAGAGAGAAACAGAGGTTGTCACGCGCTTTCAAGTTGGATATCTGAGTATTCGATGAAAATGAACATCACTTTAATATTTCCCCTTGTGATAGCAACCTTTACTTGCTCCGGCATTTTTTCTTGCATTACCATCATAAGTTTGTACAAAGATTATTTCCCTTCCAATAAAAGATCATATATATTTAAGGCAATTTTTATTGTGTGCACCAATGATAACTTACTTGAAGGATCTCACTCAATCCATAAGTAGTTATAGTGGACTCTTAGGGGAAAAATTGGGTTTAAGGGGTTTTAGATGCATAGGTACTATCCCACTTAGTGTGGGAGTATTTGGTTTAACAAAGATTATAAACAAACATCACATGTTGGAGGATCCATGACAATATAACTTGTATGCAAATATACTCAAACATAATTCATTACATCATCTTCCTTGTCCAATATCAACTATTTGATTAAGTGTGAAATATTCATTGAGGATTCACAATTACAAAAGATGTCCAAGATAGTTATTTGCATGTGAAGTTTCTCTTCCTTGTACTAATAATCCATGAATTGTTCAAAGGACCAATGTTGAGTTTGCTAAATTTCAACAGATTTTACTTCCTAAACCCAATGTGAGGCCACTACTTCCCATAAGATCAGCATATAAAATTGAATTGCAGTGCTAGGATACACAATAACGAAAAGGCAAACAAGATACTCATACTATTTTCTCTATTATAGATACTCACACCAACAGATAAAACGATAATATGAATGAATGATAGCACACATTGCAAACTCTTTCATTCTATAACTTTTCCTAATCTACGATATAACTAAGGATCGAGCTAATAGATAATGTTAATAATAAAGGTGATGATACGATACAGAGGCATGTCCCCTAAGCTTGGAACAAGAAAAGGGTGACCATACCGAAGTACTCATGCTTATTTCTTTGGTGATGGATGTGGTGATGAGCATGCTTCTTCTCATTGATGAAATCCAAGAGGATGTCCTTCAAGTCTTGGATCTTATGAAGCAAGCACTACAACATTATGGTGTTGTTTTTCACTCCAATCATAATATCCTTATTTTCTGGCCCCCATGGATTTTTATTTCCCGCATCACTTTCACTTGGACAAGAGGTACCCCAATTGGAGGGTATATGCATACGATAAGTATTCTAAACAACATAGTTGTGAACCATGTTGTGAAAAAGATTCTTGCGTAACTGGGCCGAGGGCTCTTTTGAGGGGAAGCCCTACATTACCTTACCATCCGTATGGATCCTTGTTGTCTTCAGTGTCCTAGATGAGACTTGGGTGGTGGAGAAGCAATCGTCTCTGATGCAGTTTCTGGTGATGGAGTTTCCACTTGATCCTCCGATCTAGCCTCCATCTCGACATCTTCCAACATCTCCCTTTTGATCTTGTCCTTCAACTTATGGTCTTCCTCGTCCCCACTGTCGAAGCCGGAGGAAGACAAACCAATCTAGATCTCGAAACTGTAGCAGAAAACAACTCATAACAAATACCAGAGGAAAAGTTGTGATACGCGGATCAAAATGTTAGGGGGAATTTATAAGATTTTTTGTCTTGCGAAATGATCATACGAGCAAACGATGGAGTCGGGACAGTGCACGTGGGCTCACAATGGATTGGTGGTGCGCCTAGGGGGTAAGGTGCTCTAGACCGATAAACTTCTTTGATGATGTATGTCTTCCCATCTAGAGTGAAGTTTGCGTGCAAATTGTCTGAAATGAGACTTAACTTTATCACCAATATTAAATTCTCATTTCTGAATTCCTTTATCATGCCATATATATATTTTTCTTTAAACAATTTGCATTTTCACAAGCTTCAGTTCTCCATTCATCTAGAGAACTTATGTCAAATAACCTTTTTTCTCCAGTAAGTTTGAAATCATAATTAAGTGTTTACTGAAAAAGGGTTTTCCCCCACTTTGTATTCCAAAGCACCAACATCGATACAGAGCAGACGCTGGGGCGAGCAGCACAACAAGCCAAAGAAAAAGAAAAAGAAACAATGCCAACACCGGCAGCTCGACAGACGCGAATGACCTACAACTGTTGCGCCCTCCAAAAACTACCCACCACAATCCTAGGTTCCGACCCTCCGAGTACCAAGCAGCATCTCCAGGAAGGAAACGAAGCCGACGACGCTGCTGCCCGGACGAATCCTAGGGTTTCCCTCGGCACACGGAGGGTAGAGGGGAATGAAGACCACCGGCACCCTTCAGGGAGGAATGGTGGCACCCGCAGGCGTCCCCGCACCGGAGCCGGAAGATCCGGCAAGGATTCCTCCCAACTCCAAACCCAACCGCT